TTTTGATTATTATTATATAAAATAATTAAAAGAATAAGGTAAATAGAAAAGTAAAATGCATGGTTATACCACTTTCCTTTTAATCTATAATTAGTTAGGTATGAATCAAATGTAAAGTCTAATGTTATTGATGCTAATTTTAAGAAGATCACAAAATGTAAATTAAAATAATTACAATATAATTTTCTACTTTGAGAATGAACAATATAATTAAACTCAAAATTGAGAATACTCTTATACATTTTTGAACTCTTTTGGATAATTTTTTTTTCCTAATTTTTGATAAAATTAATTTTAATATTTAAAACTATTTAACATTTTGAATTCTGAAAGGTTTTCTCTAATAGCAAATTTAAAAACATAATATTCAAAAAAATATTTTAAGATTGTGAATTCTCGGTTGTATTTCGCTTGAGTGACACTACTCTCGCTCGAACGAAATACGATTCTGATCGATCATAACTTGAAATGATCGATCATAATTGAGAGGATATAATAGCGGTTAGGGGTTAACCGCTATCTAAAACATATTTTAGATAGCTGTTAAGCGTTAACCGCTATTAAAGTGTTATTCGCTCAAGCTAAAATAACATCGCCGAGCTAAACGCCTCGCACAAAATTGGCATTCTCGGGTTGTATTTGCTTGAGCGACTCTAGTCTTGCTCGAAGCGATTTTTTGACTCTGATCGATTAGATTTTCGAAATGATCGATCATATTTGATAATTTTTTCAAATAATTAATTATAATCGATTAGTTTTCTAAATTATTGATTAGAATTGATTAGTTTTTCAAAGAATAGATTAGAATTGATTAATTTCTAAATATATACTAAAAAATTATAAATAAAAATATAAATTAGTTAAGAATATTGACTATTGTAAAGATAAAGTAGAACATGGGAGGAGATGAGGATGATAATATAATGATAGAACTTACAAAAATGTAGAATTGAGAAGTTTGAAACAAATAAAATTAAGAAAATAGAGATTTAATTACACTTTTAATAAATTTAAGATAATACTAGTTTTTATTTTTATTTTTAAATATTTATTTTAATTTTTTAAAAACAGAGAAACTATAATTTTAGTTTCTAAATACTAAATTTAAAGAATTAAATTTATTATTAATATTTTTTAATATTGTTTTAAATGTGGATATCTTTAATATTTTGGACATATAAATATAATTTATACATGTTTTTAAACCTTTTTCTAATATTTGTTTTTAAAAATATAATATCATTTTTAATATTTTATAGATTTTATATTTATATATTTATAAAAGTAATTGGATTAAATTTATTATCCTCTCATATATTATTATACATTTAGCGTAATTTTAGTTTAATTTAAAATTAGAATACAAATATACTATACTAATATACCATTATATTATTTTCATTGTATATAAATTACAAAATTAATAATTTGTAAACTATACTATACTAACATATTATTTGTATACTATACTAATAGTATAATATACTATATTATAATATTATTTGTATACAAAACTAATATCTTTATATATAAATATATAAATATGGAAAGATATAAATATATGTAAAAATATAAACATATAAATATATATAAATATGTAAAGATATAAACATATATCTTTAATATTTTGTACATGTAAATATAATTTATATATATTTTTAAATCTTTTTCTAATATTTATTTTTAAAAATATAATATTATTTTTAAAATTTAATATTTTTTTTCAAATATATAAATATATAAAGATATAAATGTATAAGGATATAAATAAATATATAAATATATCAATATATAAATATATCAAAATATTAATATATAAATATTATATATATATATATATATAAATATATCAATATATAAATATATATATATATATATATATATAAATATATAAATATATATATATATATATATATATATATATATATACAAATATATCAATATATCAATATTATCCCCTCATATATTAATATACATTATTAGCATAATTTTAATTTAATTAAAAATTAGAATACAAATATACTATACTATACTAATATACCATTATATTATTTTCATTGTATATAAATTACAAAATTAATAATTTGTATACTATACTATACTAATATATTATTTGTATACTATACTAATAGTATAATATACTATATTATAATATTATTTATATAGAAAACTAATATCTTTATATATAAATATGAAAAGATATAAATATATGTAAAAATATGAAGATATAAATATATAAAAATATAAATATATGTAAAAATATAAATATATAAAGATATAAATATATCAATATATAAATATATCAATATTTAAATATATATTAAAATATATAAATATATTTTTATTTATAGATTTTATGTTTATATATTTATACTGGATATACATTTATTTGTATATAAATATAATTTATTTGTAAGTTATTATTAAAAGATCCTAGTAGCTCAGCTGGTTGGAGTTTCAGCCTCCAACTCTAAGGTACTGGGTTCGAATCCTGACAATGATAATAAATCACCTAATAATAAGTTAAACTACTAAAAAATATAATATAATTAAGAGATAGGAGAAATAAATATAAATAATAAATGTAAATAAATAAAAATAATTAAATTTGTTATTGATTTAGTGACCGATTTAAATCGGTCGCTATTTTTTTAACTTTTTCATTGATTTAGTCGGTCGCTATTTTGCGACCGAAATAAAATCGGTCGCTATTTTGCGACCGAAATGAAAATCGGTCGCTAACACATTAGCGACTAGGCTTTTTGCGACTACGCATTTCGGTCGCTAACTGATTAGCGACCGATTATTGGGCATTAGCGACCGATTTTTTCGGTCGCTAAAATGCTTTTTTCTTGTAGTTATAGATTTTAATGAAAACTTCATATTTATAATCCTTATTCTAGAAGACTTAGGATAATAGAATACATATATTGAACATGAAATAATGTGTAGTGGGTGTTAATATATGTATAGAAAAATATATTGTTGTGATATGAGAAATATCATGTGATATCCTTATATATATTACGTCTTGATGAAAGTTGACGTATTAGTTTTTAAGGAAGAGATACTATGTTGAGATATATGTAATATATTGAATTTGAAATTTTGAAGGAGATATCCTAACTGTATTGAAACTAAACTTACTTAGAGAACAATATCAGGTGGTGAAAGTTGAAGAAGATCTCTATGACTTAGATTGTGGTGTGAAAAAGAATTATATCTGACAAATAATAGGAATTTACTTTGTCACATGAAGAAACGTGTTCCAATTATGTAACTATGTTGGAGATATCAACTTAAGGAAGGTAATGTGACAAATGCAAATTTCTAAGTCTAAAGTTAAAGTGTCTTCCGAAGGTAGAGTAAGTGTCTATAATTGTGAATGTCAATGTACGATGACATGAAATATAACTTATATGCTCGAGATATTATATACTTAATTTATTGTATAGTTATGATGCTTTAATTATTTATTTAGGTGTGAATATTGAGAATATATTGTGATAATCATATAAATAAATAATTTTAACACTGATTTATCTTAGTTCGTATGATATATTAATCTAAACCACAATGAACATGGATGTGTTATTACACGTGAATAGATAATATTTGAGGTGATCAGTCTCAACATTAAGTTGAGAAAATGAAAAAAAAGTATTACATTTGTTTATTTAAAAAAGAAAAATATCGAGAACTTGTGTAATATGAGAATGCTTCTTTTAAAATACTTAGAGATGTAATATAACTAATTTAATGTATTTATATCCCCCAGTATTTTTAAATAAAATGTAACAGTAGTAGGATGTTACACTTTCAGCTCAACATTGATTATCACTGAAAGTTGGTGATGTTCAAGTTATAGATTGAACATAAATAATTCATACAAAATATATATATATTAACTCCAACATTGCTGGTTGACTTATTATAATTATTTTATCTTCTTATTTTTTTTAGTTTAACTAAAACAATGTTGAAGGCGAACATCAAATTGACAAATTGAGAGAAACATGTCTTAAAGACAAAATATATATGATGTATGCAAGTGTCTTGAAAATAATCATCATATAAATTTAGAATTGGCAGAGATTTCCCAATGTATCTCCATCGAAACAGATGTTTGAACTACATCCGATGCATCCATAGATGAAAGAATTTTATGAATGATTTCATATATATTGAGGTATTTTCTTTCTCCGTCTCTTCTTCTCTCCTCTCTTCCAATCTGTTATCATAAATTTTTATTTAACTCAAAAATCACCTAATGATATATCTGTACGACATTTTATTTAGAGTGGTTCGATAACACTTTTAGGGTAATATAACGCTTGAAAAACAATTGTAAAAACATGCAATACAGTAATTTTTTTTTAAATAATAGTAAAATTGTAAATATTATTATCATCATTAATTCGAGTTTTTAATGATTTTGAATGAGAGATTATGTGCATGTTACATTTTTCTTCAAAGACATTGAAACTCTTTAGTTCAATACTCATGCATGCGTACTGAGTGATAATGTAAAAAAAATTAAATGTATTATCTACAGCCACAAGAATGCAAAGGTGTCTGCAGATTTTGTTAATATAGACCCATTTTCAAGCCAATGAGATAATTTGGAGATTTAATGCCAAAGAATCTCTGGAACAACAGAAGCAAAGTACAATGAATAAAGTCATGAAATTCAATGATCTAAAGAATGGGTGACATGAAGTCCCTAACCAGTAGCATCAAAATCGTGATGTGGTGATGTTTGGTGTTGCAAAAATACTCTGATTTGGATTTGTCACATTTTGTGTTGTTCGGATATTATGAAGCAATCTCGTAAAAAATACATAAATCCTCAATCCTTGTACCAGAAATTAAAGCATATACAATACAAAAAAAACGCAAACAGTTGCTGATACATTAGATCTCACAATATAACAACCAAAAGATCCATCAAATAATTATCACCAAGGTTATAATTGTTCTGATTTAGACAGTTGCCATCTTCAACCAAACTTTTTATGCACTTTTTTTTCACCTGTAACATAAAACAGCAGATTTCAAATAAGTGTGATCTGAATTAAAGTAAGAGTAAACTAACCCTTACAAATTTGTATACTCCTGCTTTTCGTACCTTTCCATTCATAGATATCAAATTCAGTAGACTTACCAAATAAGTAATTCATGACAGTAGAAGGTACAGCATAGGAGGAGGAAGAGGAGGAAGAAGAATCTTTGATTAACTTAATAGTTTCAACTCTCGAGAAAGGAGAAGATTCTTCGGCCAGTTCTTTTGAAAACATGGACAAAACCTGAAATAATAATAACAAATGTAATTTATAGAAAAGAAAATAAATTATAATAAGACAGTGAAGTAACTATTAACAAAATTACCATATTTGAAAAAGAAATAATACTTACTTGAATGATACTAGTGGATAAGAACACTGACTTAGCACTCTCCATTATTTCAAACAATTCAGTCAAACGAAGGAATAAATCCTTGTCCTCACTGAACTCATCCATATCAATATATACCTCCTCCACGAAAGAAAGACTCTCTTCGGTGCTAAACTCGTACATGTAAGAGTCGTGATATCTAAACAATTGAAGTTTTGGCGTGAAAAGTTCAATAACACAGTCAGAATCAAAAACTTCATCCACTCTCCAGTGAGAAATTCTCAGCTCGATAAGTTTCGGTGCAACTATTTGAAAGTTTTGGATTTCGCCATAAAAGAAACAATCGTCAATAAACAATTGTTCCAGGTTAGCACAGTCCTCAAAAGCATTGAAAAAGGTCTCCGATCCAGATTCAAATCGACAATCAAAAAGATAAAAACATTTAAGAGAAGGGAAATTAAAAGGTGTGATTTCCATTGCTATTTCAGAAAGCTCTAGAGTAGTTAAAGATTGACAGATGGAAAGATTATGAAGATTTTGAACTACACACTCGGCTTGGATTGTTAAAACCTGAATATGTGATAATATAGATGGTGTCTGTGTAACATGATCAATGATGGAATCTATCACATCACCGTCTTCAAGCTCTTCGTGACAAACAACATTGAGCTCGTATAAATTGGCAGAATCATCTCTAAGAGACAAAATATGATCTACAAAGTAATCAAATGCATAAGTGTCTTGAAAATAATTATCATCTAAATTTAAAACTGGGAGACATTTCCAAATGGATCTCCATCTTTTACTTAATATGCATGTCTTGACTGCAGCTGCTGCATCTAAGAAAGAAAGTATTCTATGAATTAATTCAATAGGAAGAGTACTCAATCGATCTTCTCCTGATTTTGCCATTAAACTTGAACAATAGATGTTTTCTTTCTCCGTCTCTTCTTTTCTTCTCTCTTGAACAATAGATTCTATGTAAGTTGAATCTGTTATTTATATGCATAAAGTTTTGTGTTTATGACTGCAAATAGAATGTAATTAAATCAAATGTCTTGTATTGTCATGCTTGCACACGGCACATCAATATTTTAGCAAGAATTGGTGTTATGTATATGCACATTCAATATGTTATGCTTATAAATTGCACAACACCTATAATGCATATGCACCTTCAATGTGTTATGTTAAGTTTTATATTGCACAATATAATGTAAACACATTATATTTCCCACGTCTTTATTGAAATTATTGAAATATGGAGATCAGGCTATAACTAACAACTTCATGCACCAATTGACGTAACCTAACCTAGATTATTATGTACAGGCAACCTAACCTAGAAAGGATCAACTAAGTCTGTGTATGTTTTTTATGGTGAATGGTAAATTGTTAAGATCAATCAATTTAATTTCACTGGGAATCTCAGGCCTATGTATTGAGCTGTCTCCAACTGTCTCTGCATGTGTTTCATTTGGTGTACTTTCCAATTCAATGCATGCGTTATCCGAGGAGAAGAAAGCGACGTTTTACTGCTAAAAATAAGTGGGTACTGTGTGTGTGAAGCTTCCATTGATGAATGCAATCGGCAATTTCACCTTTTCTGAAAGCTTTTTGAGAAGAACAACGCAAATATAATTCGTATTCGAACACATGCAGAGACTGTTTATCATCAACACTCTGCACAGCTGTATGTATATGTTTTATTTGTTGTATATTTTTTTATGAGAAATTTGCAAAGATTCTTCTGCATTAAATCTCCAAGTTACCTCATTGGATTGAAGATGGGTGCATAATGACAACTTCTGCAGACACCTTTGCTTTGTTGTTGCATCAGAAAAAGACAACCTTGTCCAGCCGAGACCCCCAAACATGAATGCCTCTATCTGTTAACATTGTTTTCTTATGCAGACACCTTTTCTTTCTTGTTGCAGCAGATAATACATTTAAATTTTGCATGACATTATCACTCAGTACGCATGCATGAGTATTGAACTAACGAGTTTCAATGTCTTCGAAGATATGTAAGATGCACATAAACTCTCATTCGAAATCATCACAAACTCTAATGAATGGTGCTACTAATATTTTCACTAAATATTTAAAATACAATTTTACTATTATTTTACAAAAAAATATATTTAAAAGTATAATTATTAAATTTATATAACATCTATGTTTAAAAACTCCAAGAATATAACAAATTATCCGAAAGTTTTTGCTGCATTGCATGATTTTACAATTGTTTTACTGTAATATATCTAGTATCCCTGGTGTCATGTTCCAAAAGTTTTATTCAAAGACTCTCCGAGAAAAAAATATTATACAAATTTATCATTAAGTGATTTTTGAGCTAAATATAAATTTATGATAATCGATTTAATTTTGAAAACAACTGGTTAATTTTTTCAATTAAATTAATGAATAACAGATTATAAAGATTCAACTTTCATACAATTCATTGTTAAAGAGAGAAGAAAGAAGAAACCGAGAAAGGAAATATAGGTATGAAATAATCTAAGAAAGATGTAAATAAAAATAATAAAAAAAATACTTAACTTATCCTCTTCCTCTTTCTTTCGGCTTCACCGAGTTCTTCTTATTGTTTCGTGCAGCACTTAAATTTGGTTTGAGATGTAATAAACGTTCATAGAAGTATATATTTATAGGCGCGTGTATTGTTGCTGTCCCTAGAAATACCGGTCTAAAATTATTCAACTTGTTCCTAACCGCTTATATGAAAAAATATATTTTTAAATTTAATATTGAACAAAATAATTAATATTAATAAATTTTTAAGTAAAAAAATATTTATAATTATATTATATGTTAAATTAAATTTAATTGATGAAGAATATCTAATAAGTAAGAAAGTGAGAAGCTGATATTAAACTATAAATTAATATTGAAATTATATACATACATATATATTATTTCTTTAAAAACTTAGTTAATTTTAAAAAAATAACAAAAGTAAAGAGTTATAGATAATAAAATATTTTAAATAAAGGTTTATTTAATAGCTACTTTGGAAATATTTCTTAATTAGAGTTAAAATCTTAAAAAATGTTTAAAAGTTTAAGATTAATAATTTTTCATGCACTGAATATTATGAATATCTTCACACAGAACCTACAAACATAACGTCGCTTTGTTCTGCTCTTAGGATAACGCATGCATTGGGTTGAAAATTACAACAAATAAAAAATATGCAGAGACTGCTGGTGATATATATGGCTGAGATTCCAATGAGAGTTATTTGATGCTCTCTAGGTTGCCTACTACATTGGGAGTCTAAACTATATCTATCAGCAGTTTGCTTGTCTTCTTCATCTACTTTATCACCATCTAAATTATTTTATATCTAAACATAAATTTAACTTAATATATAATATTTTATAAAAATACAAACAAATACACTAACCCCAATAATTAACATTATCAATAATTACTTCATTCTTTAGAAATTAAAAAATTATATATATATATATATATATATATATATATATATATATTTCCTTTATAAATTAAAAATTAATATAGCACTAATTACATTTCTTCAAAGACATTGCAACTCTTTAGTTCAATACTCATGCATGCGTACTGAGTTATAATGTCAAGACAAATTTAAATTTAATTGTATTATCTGCTGCGACAAGAAAGCAAAGGTGTCTGCAGATTTTGTTAGTATAGACCCATTTTGAAGCCAATGAATTAATTTGGAGATTTAATGCCAAAGAATCTCTGGAACAACATAACCAAAGTCCAACCAATAAAACACATGGCTGTTGTTACTCATAAATATAGATGACTGTTGTAGCAGGCAACCTAGAGAGCATCAAATAACTGTCTGCGTTTGTGTTTTTCATGGTGAATTGTAAATTTTTAAAATGAAACAATTTAATGTCATTGGGAATCTCAACCAACTGTATCACCCGCAGTCTCTGCATGAGTTTCATTTGTTGTACTTTCCAATCCAATGCATGCTAATAACAAGTAGGTTCTGTGTGAACTGATGCAATTGACCGTTTGTGTTCTCCTTTTTCATACTAACAACACAAATATAATTTGTATTCAAACACATGCAGAGACTCTTTAAACACATTAAATTGATTCACCCTTAATTTGCTAAATATCATTCAACCACACTGTCTCTGGTACTTTTTATTTATTGTATTTTCTTATGACAAGATGCACATATATCTTCTGACAAAGTCTGCACACAAATTTGCCTTGTTGTTGCAGCAGATGTAGACCACATTATGAAGCCGAGACCTCCAAAACATTCAAATCAATGACTCTATCTGCTAACATTATGCAGGGATAGTCTGTACAATTCAATGCAATTCAGCTTTGATCAGAACGCCCCAATGCATTTCAATGCATGGTTACACAAGAAAGTGACTTCATAGCTACAACAATGGTTAATGACAAGTGGATCACTGTGTGTATGAAACGCATACAGGATGATTATGATCCACTTCTTAAGATTTTCCAGTAATGCTTGAATTATAATTCGACATGAAAGCTACATAAAATATAACAATTTTTCTTTCTCATTATAAGCTCCTACTTGATAACATTTATACTGGGTTAGATTTAAAGAAAATCATTCAATGTGAGTGCAATATGCATTTGACATTCCCACGTTTTTGCACTTTACATTTTTAGCTAAAGAGGACTTGAACGCGGATGTTCTACGACTCTCTACAATACCTAAGTTATCAATAAAAATTCGTCCTATTTCATATATTATGATTATTTGATAAAAAAAATATAGATAACTATTACCGCTTAATTTTGTACCCTTATGTTTAATTTATTTTAAAAGTCATTCAAAATTATTAATAAACAACAAAATTGATAAAATAAAAAAATATGTATTTTAAGCAATTCATGTCAAATGACATAATTGCTCAATAGTAAAGGTGTGTGAACTGATTCAATGAGCAAAGGAAGGATAGTTTTATTGTTTGAGTTGATACTTATTCACCTAAAGGTTTGAAATAATTATTTACACCATTCTCGTTAAAAAATACAAATCCTCTTTGAATTTAGGAGAGATAAAAAATTATAAAAATTAAATTTTACTTAACAAACATATAAGTATAAATTTATATATAATATCCATGAGTTGAAAACAATCCAAGAGTGTACTTTTAAATAATTATTGTAAATTTTTTTAAATATATTTATAACGAAAAATAAACTAAATATATCTGAATACTCTTTCTACAAATATATGTGTCATCATTAATTATATAGGTTATAATTTTTCTCTGTAAAAGAACTAAACAAATAAATTTTGTTTAAACGCATGTTTAATTTAAGATAAAATAATTTCTACTAAACTTAAAAATAGTAAATAAAAATTTATATATAATACCAATATTAATAGTTTGTCATCTTTTTTTTTACCGAAACAATAAAATTAAATATTTTATTTACTTAGAATAAATTATTTAAGATAGATAAGTTTGTTTGTTCAACTACAAACCAAAATATTCATTTTTATTATTATTATTATTATTATTTTTTATTATTATTATTATTAGAACTTTCCGATATGTTCATAAGTTACAAGTTTTTATTTTCTTTTTCTTAAATGTTTTCATCTTTTTTTTACTATTGATCTGAATCTAGGTCGGAACCCTTTTGAGGGTTGTGCTAATTTAAAACAGTTGTATATTGACTATTGTTTATTTTACTGCAAAATCCAAATATTTCAAATCCTTATACTAAAACTTATTGGATTAAAATATTTTTGTTTGATTTTTATTCTGGCTTTGCTATTGAACATTTCACATCAAAACTTCAATCGTTTGGACACCAAAACTCTTACATGTATGAGTTTAGCATTGAAGAGAGTCTTTCTTTTATTGGAACATGTATATATTAATATGCATGATTTCAGTGAATAGAAGAATTTATTCCTTCGTTTGACTAAATTGTTTGAAACAATGGGGAGTGCTAAGTCAGTGTTCAAGTAAGTCTTATTTATTTTTCAAATATGATATTTTGGTTAATAATTACTTCATTATCTTATTATAATTTGTTTTGTTTTTTATAAATCACATTTGTTATTATTATTTCAGGTTAAAAAAATTGGCAAATGAATCTTCCCCTTTCTGGAGAGCTCCGACTTTTAAGTTAATCAAAAGATTGTTCTTCTTCCTCCCATGTTGTACCTCATATTGTGATGAATTACTTTGGTAAGTCTCCTGAATTTGATATTATTGAATGGAAAGATATAAAAAACAAGACTATATAAAATTTATTTAAATACAAACCACTATTTTTTTTTATGATAAATTTTTTATGCTTGAAAAAAAAATTATCATTTATTGATATCAGATTTTAAATAAGATATATTATGTAACAGGTGAAAAAAGTGCATAAAAAGTTTGGTTGAAGAAGACTTCTTTCTAGAACTTTGAAGATTTTATGTAGTTAAAAGATTTGAAGTTAAAGAACAAAGAATGTTATCTAAAGAGTACAAATTACATTCTATTGAGAGATGTATCTTGAAATAGATACTAAGATGGTGAGAAGATAAATAAGTTACGCTCAACCCTTGATATTATTTAATGCAGAAGAATCTCCGCAACTTCTACATGAAGATCAACAAATAAAACGAATCCAAAAATGGAATTAAATTCATTAATAGAATCTTCACGGAGAACCATCCGATTACATGCATAAAGAGAAAGTTGGTGATATATATGAGATTCCCAGTAACATTAATTTATCTTTTATCATATTTACAGTGAGCGTAAGGTTCTCTAGATAGTATATTTTCTATTTTATTTATCGAACTTGTATTTTATTTGTAGATTGTTTGTATTATTAATTGAAAAATATAGAATTTTTTCTATAATTTTTATTCATATTATTTTTGTACACATATACTATCATCTTATAGTATTTTACTCTAACAAATCAAGACTAAATATAGGAAGTTTTGATTATACAATATTTTGTACCGCTATACAAACCTATAATTTAGCTAATCAAATATCTTTATCCCAACACTCTCCCTCAAGTTGGTAAATGGATGTCATACATTCTCAACTTGTCCAATAATCTCCTAAAAATCTGACTTGTCATAACTTTGGTAAGAATGTCTGTCAACTGATCTTCAGATCAAATATTTGGCAATTCCAAAATATTTTTATCAAGTTTTTCCTTGATGAAAAATTTATCAACCTCCACATGCTTCATCCGATCATGTTGGACAGGGTTGTGAGCAATGTCGCGCGCAACTTTATTATCACAATACAATTGAATGGGACGTGTATGTGCATACCCTAAATCCTGGAGAAGTAGTCTGAGTCACAAACCTTCACAAAGTCCAATAATCATTCCTCTAAGTTTAGCTTCTGCACTGGATCTAGCTACAACTTTCTGCTTCTTGTTTTTCCATGTGACAAGATTACCTCCTACAAATATAAAGTATCCAGAGGTTGATCTTCTATCATCAAGAGTACCTGCCCAATCTACATCAGTATAAACCATCACATCCTTGTAGTTGGAGTTCTTCTTGAACATAACTTCTTTTCTAGGAGCAGCTTTTATATACCTTAAAATCTGTATAACAGCATCCATGTGTTTTTCACCTGGATTGTGCATGAACTGACTAACCATACTAAGAGCATAAGCTAAATCTGGCCTAGTGTGTGAGAGATACATCAATCTCCCTACAAGTCTCTGATATCTTCCCTTGTTAGTTGGAGTTTGATCTTCTTCAATGCACAACTTCAATCCCTCTTCAATTGGAGAATTTGTTGGTTTGCATGCTGTCATTCTAGTTTCTTTTAGTAAATCCAATGCATACTTTCGTTGTGAGAGAAAAATACCTGACTTTGATCTTGAGACCTCAATTCCAAGAAAATATTTCAAAGGACCAAGATCCTTCATCTCGAATTCCTTTGCCAAGTACTCTTTCAATGCCTTGCATTCCTCTAGATCGTTTCCCATAACTATCATGTCATCAACATATACAATAAGAATTGTAATCTTTTCTTCATTTTTCTTTAAAAACAAGGTATGATCTTGGTTGCTCTGTTGGTATCCAAAAGAAAGCATTGACTTGATGAATCTACCAAACCATGCTCGTGGCGATTGTTTTAGTTCATACAATGACTTCTTCAACTTGCATACCTTCTTGCTATGTGTATTTGGGATCCCATATCCTTCTGGTAGCTCCATATAAACTTCTTCAGACAATTCCTCGTGTAAGAAGACATTTTTTACGTCAAATTGTTGTAAGGACCAATCAAGGTTTACAGTTAGAGATAACAATACTCGAACTGTACTAATTTTGGCTATGGGAGTAAACGTTTCAGTGTAATTTATTCCATATGCTTGTGTGTACCCCTTTGCCACTAATCTAGCTTTGAATCTCTCAATTGTGCCATCTGCATTAAATTTCACAGTATACACTCATCGACATCCTACTAGTTTCTTTCCAACTGGACAATCTACTAATTCCCATGTTTTATTTTTTTGCAAGGATCTCATCTCCTCATTCATAGCATCCTTCCACCTGGAGTCAGCTAAAGTTTCCTGC